CCTGTTTGGAAATTGTTGATGATATTCGTCTGTTTGTGAACTTTACCAGAAAAGATAGAGAGTTAGTTGCATGCAATGCCATGATGTATGGAATGAATTGCGTAATGAAATTCTCAAAGCAAATGAGAGTGTGTTATATGCATTTTGTATGTATATGCTACGATAAATGACGTATGAATGTGAGCTGTCGTTAGAGGGTATTTAATAGCTTTGTATAACATCTCGCTGGGGAAAAAGGATCCCTGACTGGTGCTTGGGATGAAGAATATGTGTAATCTTCAATCTTTGTTTAAAATATTTCCGCTGGGGATTTTTTCTTTCTATTTGAGGAAACTCCGATGGGGAATGTTGATTTCTATTTAGGGAGAAGAGTTCAGGAACATCAGTCATTCATCGCTCTACTGGGGAGTTTAATTCTTATATACCCTGACTGGGGATAAAAGAGATGGATAACCTTCCAAGGTACTATTTGATCGAGTTTCTGATATGGATGCCGACTCTTCTGGGGAGGATAAGATTGAATGATATTTGGTCTGGTTCCCTGATTTAGTAGCAACTCTCTGGGGATAGTGGTTCAGAGTTCTCTTTGTTAGAGATGGCAATCTTGCCGGTATTTAAAGAAATAGACTCAGACTGGGGAGACTTAACTTTGCTAGGGAAATAAACTCTGTTGGGTTAATAAACCATGTTGGGAAAATAAACCCTGTTGGGGAAATAAACCCTGTTGGGGAAATAAACCTTGTTGGGGAAATAAACCCTAAATTGGACAGAGAAATATTCTGCCGAGGAAATACTCTTGTTGAGGAAATTAGCTCTGCAGGAGAAAAGAAATCTGCAGGGATTTTTACAGTTTTGGAGGAATAAACTTAGTTGGGAAAGAGAATTTCCATAAATTGCACCAATGACATAATCTCCGATGGAGACTGGAATTTCGTTAGGTTGGCGACATTGCCGCAAAAAAGATCATATCACTTTATCTGCTAGGGTGATTTGATGGTGAGTATGATTAGGTTAATTCTGCCTCGCCAGGAATGTATCTGTATTGAAAATGAGTTTATGAAGATGACTTTGTGGGGATAATCCTATGAGGATCTTTCTATGGGGATACATGGACGACTTGAACATTATCCCGACTCCTAAAGTCTTGAGCAAATGATTATTCATATTTTTTACGCACATATTTGTTTAACAGTTAATCATATTCATATGCTTATGTGCATTCAATTTAGTCTTTGGACGTTTTTGCAAATAAAACAGAAAAAGTAAAACAAAATTTTGAATTTTGAAATGGTATTTGTATTGATAATTTGCCTATAAACAGATAGTTTTTGTACAAAGAGACATAAATCCTAGTGGGAGGAAATCGTCATGAAATGAAAAGAATACAAAGTAAAAACAAGATTATAGCTATGTGGGAATAATCTCGTCGCGTCTCAACTCTGCTATTTCCCCTATGTCTTCAAGCATCTCATCCCCTATTGTCGGATTAAGTTAACTGAACTGATCTGTACCATTTAAACTTGACGTTGTTAATAAAGCTTGTTGTAAGTGATCCAACAGATCTCACCCAAAACAGCATTAAAATCTGTTAAATCCGAACATTAGGGTTTCATTTTTCCCCTTCAAGATCTACATGAAACCATGCCGAATCTACAGAAACTAGCCATAGATTAGTAATCAGTAGGAGAAGCCGAATAAGAAGATGTAAAAATATGAGGAACCAGGCTCCCCCGTTGTCGTCACCGTCGTGAGGCGATTTTCGACGCGGCGGTTTTATCTTTTGCAGTGAAGATGGTTGAGAGAACAAGAGAGCAAGTCAGAACGAGAGAGAGAAAATGTTTTATCAAAATGACTCTTTTCTTTTGTTTTGTTGTTTTTTATGATATGGGTCTCTCTCCAAAACTCACCACTAAGCCCAAATTGTTTTCAATCGCGCACCCCCCGTTGTCGTCACCGTCGTGAGGCGATTTTCGACGCGGCGGTTTTATCTTTTGCAGTGAAGGATGGTTGAGAGAACAAGAGAGCAAGTCAGAACGAGAGAGAGAAAATGTTTTATCAAAATGACTCTTTTCTTTTATTTTGTTGTTTTTTATGATATGGGTCTCTCTCCAAAACTCACCACTAAGCCCAAATTATTTTCAATCGCGCAACCCCCCCCCCCCCCCCCCACCCACATTGCTATCATCGGGCTTCCTCATTCTCAAATAAATTTTCAGGCCCAATGCCTTTCTACTAGCACACCCCCATTCACTTCTTAACAACGCAGCTCATTCATTTTTTTTTAGTTTTTATTTTCTGGTAACAAAAATACATTGGGCCTAAACTTGAAATTTGTTTCACTAATAAATACCCCAAATCATTTTCACACCCACGGACTAAAATTTTCATATTCTTTATTTTCTTTTTCTTTATTATTATTATTATTTATTTTATTAATTAAAAATATCAAAAATATTTTATATTTATTATTTAGGTATTTAGTATATTTTTATTTTATTTTTTTTAGACAAAAACACCAAAAATATTTCTTTAACAAATTTCTTTTTTTTTTAATTAAATTAATATTAGGCTTAGATTTATTTTAGTTTTCTTTTTTTATTTAAATATTATAGAGCTTAGAAATTTAATTAATTGATTTCGTTCCATTCACTTTAGATTAATTAATTAGGTTAAAAAAACCTTTTTTTTTCATAAAAAAATCTAAAAAACTTGTTTTTCTTAATTTAATTTTATTTTCTCAATTTAATTAGGTTTAATTTATTTTAACCATTCTATTTTAATTACATTAGGTCAAAATCTTCTTCATTACAAAAACACAAACAAAAATCAATTTCCTTGTCCATTTATTTTCTTGTACATTTATTCATTCTTGTACTTTATTATTAATTCAATATGACTGTAATAGTAAAATTAGAATTTATTTACTTTTATTTCCCCATTTGTAAATTTGTATCTTCATTCCCAAATGATGTAATAGCGTAGAATATTTACTTTCTGCAGTTTACCGCTTTCAAATATAAATGCTATTAATTAGGATTTGTATGGCAAGACTAAAAACAACAAGTAGAAAATCCTAATTCAAGACAAAGCATGAAAAAATAAACATTTTGCACTTGCACCTATATGGTTAACCTCACTTGTTGCCTGAGAAAAATAGTCATGTCCCTCAAACGTGGAATACATTAGCAATGACTCTCGAATACAAGATCGTAGTCCCTCGATGACCCTTCAATGTTGTCTTCGGAAAATGATCTTAGAGCCTTACAAAAATTGCTAAGGTATCATACAATGTTGTCTTCTATGACTACACGACAATCCACGTTCGTCCTTTCACATCTAATGATAAGGCTTCTTATCAATCAATGATAAGATAACAATATCTAAATGAGAAGGAAAAGAACTAAGACTTTTTAAGTATGTAGAACGCTCGTAGTTGCTTGCTCACGACCATTTTCAAAACAACACCGATGACCCTTCAATGTTGCCTTCGGAAAATGATCTTAGACCCTTACAAAAATTGCTAAGGTATCCTACAATGTTGCCTTCTATGACTACACGACAATCCACGTTCGTCCTTTCACATCTAATGATAAGGCTTCTTATCAATCAATGATAAGATAACAATATCTAAATGAGAAGGAAAAGAACTAAGACTTTTTAAGTATGTAGAACGCTCATAGTTGCTTGCTCACGACCATTTTCAAAACAACACCATTTCAAACACACCAACACTTTTCAAATGAAATATTTTCAAAAGCCAATACTTTGTATGCATTCTTATAGAGACGAGAATCATTTACAAAGTTCGCCTAAACGAATGCACTTTTTAAAAATACTTTAAAAAACAATCACAAACACATTTCAAAGTGAACTAACAACTAAGAGCCCGTAGATAACTATAGAAAATTCTCAAAAGGTATTTCATATTCTTTTCACCCAAGTCAGTTCTCTCACTGTATTACAATATGTATATATGCAAGGTTGAAGATGATGAGCAATTTTAGTATTTGTTTATAGTTTCATCAAGTTAAAAAAGATGTATGAAATATATATAAGTGTGAAGTTTGAGGCAAAAGAGAAACCTAAAAATTTGAAAATGAAAACAATTTTTGAGAAATTCTAACACATGTAAGTTATGTGTCGACACATATAATGACATGTGTCGACCTATTTAAGGTCATTGTATCGACACAGTTACAAAAACTACATGCTTTAAAACAACAGTACATGTGTCAACACAAAACATGTATGTGTCAACACATCAAAGATTTCATAATAATGTGTCAACCTGAAATGAGAAATGTGTCGACATATAGTTACAGAGCCTAAAAGCTTTATTGATCCACATGTGTCAACGCATATATCAGATGTGTCGATACATGCAATTAATTTTTATACAAAATTTTTATGCAAAAATTAATTTTTAGTGAATGATACATATTGACAACCTTTTCAAACATGTTCTAGATGCATTCTAAAATCTAATACAAAGGTGCATAAATGTGTTAGAAAAATGTAAAAAATAATAATTAAAAGAGAATTGAAAAAATAACAATGATTTCTACATTGAAAAATAAGATTGACAGTAAATTTGAAACAAATTTTCTGGAGGGAGTATATATTATGACCGGCAAAATTATTAAAAAATTAGAGATATAATAAATAAATTTAAATTAGTAGAAAATAATAATAAATATTTTATGATAGAATAAAAGAGGTTAAGGTTGTTTAAACAATTTCATTCTTGTATTATATAATATAAGACTAATTGCAAATTAGTGTAGTAGGACAAAAGAAAAATTATAAGTAGAACCAAAACTTCTAACCGTAATTTAAATTATAGCGACAAATGAAACATTTTCATTAACACAAGGAATAGCCCCAACAATGCACTTTGGAACAAATCGTCTTTCTTATCAGGGAAGTAAGCTGATCAACAGATTTTGTTACCTAGATAAAATCTAACTATACAGTGTACATATAAATTCCTCCTTTCATAACTATTGATTTTCTGAACCAAGAACTTGTTCCTTGAGTCCCTCTATTACAGAGGACAGCTCATCTCTATTTTTCTGCAGTTTAAGGCATCTGGTAAATAATCTTAGATATAAAACTAAGATGCGCATATCAACAAATATTACTAAAATTAGACACTCACCTTGAAAAGCAAATATCTGTAAGTAAACCATAATGAATATCCAAGTCCTACAACTTCAAACAGTTTGGGAATCTGGTATAAGAATGAACCAAAAAAGGTTAGTATTAACAAAGTTGGTTTTTGAATTAGAAATCTTAAATGACTTATTAACAGAAACACACCACTGGGATAGAATCAATAGCACCAATGACAGCTGAAGTTAACCACAGGGTCACTATAGCACCACCGCCATACACAGCAAGAGAAGCAGTGTCATTTAAGTCGATCTGTAAAAACTAAAAAGTGTTAAGACACTCATGTAGGACTATAACAGTCAGTGTTCACAAGATCAAATATGAAACAATTTTGAATGACATGTCATTCATTCTAAGACAACATTAAATCACACCACGAAATGGATTCAGAGTGGAGGAATAATTAACTTAAGAGAGACTACACTCTGTTCAATGAATTAGATAAGACAGAAAACAGGCTGCATTTCATTATCTGTGCAAACTGGTGTGTAAAAACAGGTTCAATTATAAGAAACGGTCTAGATGAATTGATCACTCATGCAACAGTGTAATTCAATTCATTGTATATTAGGTTTGCATTCAAGTTATATACATGAAAATTAAGAAGAAACACATATGAAGATTATTAAACCAAAACATAGATCAAAGCATGAGGGCTAGATAGAACGAGAAGCATAACAGCCGATGAAATTGCTTCAAAGAATCATGTAAAATCCTCACTATGAAAAGTTTGAAGAGTATTGATGAAAAGAGAGAAAAACAACCAAGCACATATTAAAATGACGTAGCATTGCTCAGGTAACCGCTCAGGTTCGACATGAATATCGAAGTATCATAAAGCACTCTATGAGTGCCATCAATAAACTGAGTTTCATCATTGCAACACAAAATGGAAATACAGATTAATCTGGAACAGTTGAAACATAAACAATCACAAGCATCCTCATTGATCCACCAAACACATGATAAATAATAAAATTTAGAGTTTACTCAGGTGCTCAGGTAACTGCTCAGGTTCAACATAATGCCGAAGTATCACAAAGCATCATAAGAATGCCAACAATAAACTTGAGTTTGCATCATAGCAACGAATATCAAACAAATCTAAATATAGTGGAAACATATACATGAGTTAATAAAACTTAGTTTGCTCAGGTAACCGCTCAGGTTCGACATGAATGCCAAAGTATCACAAAGAACTCTATGAATTCAATCAATAAACTGAGTTTTCATCACAGCAACAGAATGTGGAAATCATATCAATATAAAACAGTGGAAAAATAAAATACATGAGAATTAATAAAACTCAGTTTGCTCAGGTAACCGCTCAGGTTCGACATGAATGTCGATGTATCATAAAGCACTCAACGAATGCCATCAATAAACTGAGTTTTCATCATAGCAACAGAATATGGAAATGTTTGATCTAAACAAGTGGAAACATAAAATATAAAAAAAATTTAGAGTTTGCTCAGGTAACCGCTCAGGTTCGACACAAATGCCGAAGTATCACAAGGCACTCTATGAATGCCATCAATAAACTGAGTTTTCATCATAGCAACAGAAAATGGAAATCAAACCAATATAAAAGAGTGGAAACATATAATACATGATAATTAATAGAATTTAGAGCTAGCTCAGGTAACCGCTCAGGTTCGACACGAATGCCGAAGTATCATAATGCACTCTATGAATGCAATCAATAAACTGAGTTTTCATCATAGCAACAGAATATGGAAATCAAACCAATCTAAAACAGTGAAAAAATAAAATACATGAGAATTAATAGAATTTAGGGTTCGCTCAGGTAACCGCTCAGGTTCAACATGTATGCCGAAGTATCACAAAGCACTATGTATGCCATCAATAAACCGAGTTTCATCATAGCAACACAACATGGAAACACATATCATTATAAAAGTCGAAAAACAGATTACAAATACTAAAAAGGCAACCTGATTAGTGTGGCGTTTACATTATGCTTATCCGTCAAAAACTACACTGAACCATCTATCCCCAAATGGAACGAAAAACAGTCAGTTTTCACAATGTCACATAACCGCCCAGGTTCGATATAAATGCCAAAGTATCATCGAGCAATCTATGAATGCCATCAATAAAATGAGTTTCATCGTAGCAACACAACATGGAAATACAAACCAATCTAAAACAGTAGAAAAACAAAAAATAATACATAGAGATTCTCAGGTAACCTCTCAGATTAGAGATAATGCCGAGGTATCATGAAGCATTTAATGAATACTGTCTACAAAATGTAGTATATCATACTAGCAACTAGCAACTCAACATGGCAATAAAAACAGTAGACAGAAAAAACACATAAATCAAAACCCACAGTCACTTCTCTTAGACTCTAACAAACAGATTCAATACTCAAATTCAAAAATTCAAATACTAAAGGGAAAGGTAAAGCAACCTTTAAATTAAGCTTTTCAAGGAAATCCAACGGCAGGCTTTCTCCATCAGAAGGCAACTCTTCCTTTGGTTCTCCATTCTCCACAGTTTCACTGTAACCATTTTTATCAGCCTCTAGAGTTACCACAGCATCACGTTTCTCGTTGAAAAAACTACCTGCGCCACTCGATGTTTTCTCAGACGCTGTTGCCCGTACATTTCTAACGAAAACTGAGCCTGAAATAACACATAACACATAACACATAAATCAAAACTCGGAACTTTCCCTTCATTAATCAGCAATTAACAATGCAATTTTGACAATAAACACAACAACCCATTTGCTACAACACAAAACGACGTGCATTTAAACAACATTTATATATAAAACGACAGTGAAATGGGGAAAAAACAAAACCCTAGATTGGAGAACTTACGAGATAAGAGTAGACGGTTGGGAGTGAAAGAGGGTTTATGGTGAGATGTGAAAGAGTTGGGAAGTTTGGAGAGAGTGAGAGGCTGAATTGTACAATGCGCCATTGTGAATTGTGAACAAGGCGATGAAGGGTTGGGTTATATACAAAATGGCTTCTAGGGTTTTCAAGTTTTTCTGCCTTTTTTTTATTGTTTTCTAGGTTTTCTCCGACACCATTTTTTTAAATAACTTTTATTTATAAAAACTCTAACAAACTACGTTTTAGTCATTTTACACTATTATTTTATATGAATGATGTGTAAAAAGATATTTTTAGCAGTCTAATGTAAGGGGAGGTCGATTTTATCCACAGTATAAATATAAAATATTTGAGAAGAAATATATATACGATTCTCAATTTATAATTAACTTTATTTTTATTATTTAAAGATTGATTTAACAATTAAAGTGTTAATCTTGTAGGTTCATCTTACGCAAGTGCACCGAAGCAATGTGTGTCATCATGCAATCGCACTGGAGCAATGTGCAATACCTTGAAGACCTGCACAAACCATTTTGGTTCCATGATGAATAGTGATGTTGTATATGGGAATCGACTATTGATTCCTACAAGTTTTCACGATTAAATCTTTGATTCGGTCAAGTTTATCTCTATTCAGTCAAATATTTTCTAATTCAAATCTCAACCAACTCGTCATATACGTTAACATGGAAGTAGTGGTTTCCTTTTTATAAGATCTTTCAAAATCCTCTAGACTGAATTCTTCGCCGATTTTTGCCATAAACACGATATGTGAAGGTCCGTTCAAACAAAGAGAGCCTTTTTCGTTAAAATTTGGTAAGTTTACCTTTATAGGTAAGGAGACAAGTCAAGATAGGTCAATCATGGGGTTCCAGGATCATGAGAAGGTAGATAGAATTTTGAATGTTGATCTCCCACTCATCATTATCACTACCATTATTAATCATTATGTCTTAGAGATCCTCGTAGATGATGCATGTTCCTACAATCTTATCTACTTTATAATTCTCATTGAACTTGACTTGAGGAAACAAAATTTGAGTCATTTGCAGGGCAGAGCCTCCTAACATTTAATCATTCTTCTACTCCTCCTTGTGGATAAGTGTACTTGCTAGCTCCCTGGAGTGTGGAGCATTAAGAGCACGGTGGACGTTCGTTTCTTCGTAATTCCATGTGAAAGCATCTATAATGGCATCTTTAGTCGACCACGCATAGCGGCCCTAAACATTGTGGCTTCCTTCGTGCACTTTAAGTTAAAGTACCATAATAATGTTGGCCAACCTGTGGTAATCAGAGCTGACCTTCATGGAGCTAGTCGGATACAGGAAGTAATATTGAAGAGTCCCTTAACAATTTTTGTCATACTTGAAGGAATAATCGAGGAAGCTAACAGAGTAGCAGATGTCACCAACCTCGATGCTCGCAAAGGAAAAATTATATTAAGAGGCGAGTTAGGAACCTTAATCATGGTCAAAGCAGAGATCCTAAGACCATTTCCAAACGGAGACTTTGAGACAGCCCATTTAGATGATAACTCAATGAGGTCAGTAAGGATAGAAATAAGTCTAACTACTGAGGTAAAATAAGGATTAGTATGGTGTTTGAGATCCAATGGAAAACTCTTCGTTATATATCCTTTCGAGATGCCATGAATAGATCCTAGTGTGTGTCGCAGTGAAAAATCAGAGAGACCAAGCTGTTGACTAACTTGACTCACAAAATTAAGAAGTCACCACTGAACTTTATTGTTTCTAAGTAAAATGGGAAAGATCAAAACTCTATATTTATCATGCAATGCAAGAAGCAAAAAAACTAAAAGCAAAGCACAAAGAAGAGATCTAAGGTACGGGGGTTGATTTATACAAAGAGAAGGTATTAGCATCCTATGTATCTATAGTACTTTATATGAACCTTTTGAAATATCTATTTTTGGTTAACATGGTTTGCTTGCTAAAAGATGGTGGAGATGAGAAAAGAAATGTTTTTATTATATTTTTGTTTTAAAAGACAAAGTCTTATACCTATGTACCAATAAAGGATCAAAATCTTGTAGTTTATGGTAAAAATAACAAAAGAGTTTGTTGGTTAATTTTAGGAGAAAAGATATTTCATCATCTTTAGGAGAATACTCAATTAATTCCGCCATAAGTATGAGAAGATGGATCTTGCATCATCATGAAGGAATGACTCTTAACTTGGATATAAGATCAACAAGTTGCCACTAGCTCTCTCAAGTGGGAAGAATCACATTTACTTCAATAATTACTATAGAGATAGGAGAATTACATCTCTATTATGAAGAGGATTTATATCTAATCTCTTTGAAATAAGATTTTTAAATTAAAATGCCAAGTGGCAAGAGGATTTGGGTAAGGTTGAATCTCTTTTAGTCTGATGAAAGAGTTTATAATATGCTTAAGTGTTTTTGAAGATTTATTAAAAAAATAAAGTTTGAAAATGCAATTATACAAAGTCAAGGTTTTTATATGAAAGTAATGTAGGTTTCAAATTAGGGTTTAGGTATAAAAGTAAACATTTACAAAGGGGTAATATACAAAGATAAACATACAAGGATGAACCTAAAATATGCATATACTAATGACTATTAAGTAAACAAAATTATCATTTTCCTTGGATTTGAACATAAGTGCTAGTAAAATATAAACAACTAATCACTACAACAAAGAGAAATCACATATGTCATAAATATTAAAGACAAAATCACAAAGTAACATAGCCTTGAAGAGAGTCATTTAAGAAAAATGTTTTATCAAATATGAACAAGTATCAATCAAAAGGGAAAGTAAACATGTTTATTTTTGTACACCAAAATTTTTCCTCTCATTTATCAAGATTTTTCTCACAAGACTCTTTGGACTCAAGACAAATTTAGGGTTTGCTCAGCTCAAGACATCTCCTTGCACTGATAACCTGAAATTAGGGTTTGAGTTTGCACAAGGATTTTTGGACCATCAATGCTTCATGTGACTTTCATACACCATCTTGGACCCCTAAGATTGCTCATACCAAGTTTCAAGCCTTGAATCACATTTTTGCCCAGTCAATTGGACAGTTGACCTAAAAATCAGTTGTATTGGGGAAAAAGTCAACCATGGCCAATTTACAGTCAAACTTCATAATTTTTTATCCATAACAACATTTTAGACTCATATGTACCATTTGATCAAGTTTGGATCACAACTCCTCAAGAAATTTGATCAAATCATTAAAAGGGCAAAATGGTCAAAATTAGGATTTTGACTGAGAAAGGGCAATTTCTGATTTTTAACCTAGCCAATGGCCAATTGGTTTCAAGCATGATTTCAAGGACTCAATGAAACCATCTTGACCTAATTGCATAGTTCAAAAGATCTCAAGTTCATAGGATTGACAGATGAATTTTGTAGTCAACTGATCAAAAGTCAATTGTACACTGCAAAGTCAAACTTTGACTTTTTGGTCAAAATCAAGTTCCAAAGGTCATGATTTATCAATGTATGTCAAAATGTGAAACTTGTTGGCCAATAAACCTAAATTTGCAAATTAGGGTTTTAATTTGAAAATTTTTCATACCTTAGAAATTTTCTAGTATAAAAATTTTCTTATTTTTCCCCAACTTTTCCACCATGATGTAATTGGATTCAAAGAAAAATTCCAACATGAAAGTTGTAGTCCTCCATGAAATATACAACTTTGATTCACAAAGTTTTCCAAAAATATGCTTGGATCTCAAGATATGAATTTGTGAATAGGGGTCCATGAACTAAATAACTTAGTGAAAATTTGCCCTAATTTAGGCAGGTTTTTGACCCAACTTCATGGGCATTTTTCACCTAGTTCCAAGAGGTATCTCAAAATGCATTTCAAATATGGATTATAAAGCATGTTGCAAGCTTTCCAAAATGTCCAATAACTCTCCAAGATCATTTATGATTAGGGAGAATCGAATAAAAGAAAATGGCATTTTGTCACTTTTGTTCAAGACATTTTCACAATGCACCAATTTGCAGATATGATCAAGCATGCTTGTATCTTGCATTACAGGTCCTAAATCCCTTCTACACTCCATAATTAAATGCTATCTCAGTGGTTAATGGTTTATTTTGACCTTTGGAGCATTGTACAAAGAATAAATCCATAAATGGCATAAAGGGCACAATGCCATTTTGATAAAGCAAGCTTTTCCAACTTTATCAACCTTGAGCCTTGGACTTGTTCCTTGAGTACAAGCATTTTCCATAGATCACAAGCAAAGTATACCAACCCTTGCAGCTCACAAGATAGCCAAGTACAGGCCTGCTAGCATGGTCACTTCACCTTTCTTCAAAAACAAGAAAAGTGGCCAAAAGGTAGAGAACTTGTACATCTGATAAAGGGTGGACTTGGCATCATTCAAAACACATTCACAAACTTGTTACAAGCCAGAACACGAAAGCAAAAGATCCCAAACACTCTCAAACTCAAAAAACATAAATTTTTTCCCAAACAGGGCAGCTTCTGCAAAATCCTAGCCAAGTCATATTTTGCTCGTGCGTTTTGCCTCTTGACACTTGAAACACTTCATCCACATCATATCCAAGCTATCCAAGCCCTTACATTGTTGTTGTAACCCCTGCTTCAGCCATCACCATTTTCATTTTGAAAGGTTGCAGCTTGACTTCTACAGGGAGTTTCAGTCATCCACAAGGCCAGCTAAGCATTGGAATAGCTTGAGGGAACTTCAAGGAAGCTCACACGATCCTCAGGCCTCACTCAAAGTCCCCACATTGCCATATCCAACTCCAGCTGAAAGAGGTATTTTTCAAATCCCTATCTCTTTATTTAAGCATCCTCAAGCCACGAGTTGTGAAGCAAAAATGTAGTCTCTAGCATGGTGAAGTTGTACATATGCATAGTTGTCATTTATTTTAACTGAGCTAAGAGAATTTAAATGTTGAACATGCTGAAAAAATTAGGTCTGAAATTAGGGCTACTGAAATTCTCCCTGATCTTTGAGAGTTAGATTATGAATTTTATATCATTGGAATCGTGAGATTCCAAGCTACATTTTTTATGTTGCAAGTTTTTGTTTTTGTGCAAGCG